CCCCCCCCCCTCCCCCCAATCCATCATCGGCACTTCTCTACTTTACCAAGAAACCGATCCGACGACACTTAGATTCTTAATGGCCAAGTTCGTTAGTGGTACCATAATGGCCGCGACCGACTTGTGTCCTTTTTATATACGTCGAAAATGACGCGGAAAAGATGGAACTGGAACGACCGGCAGAAATGCCCGAGCGAAACCGGCCGTTCGGAAATAGTAGGACACCTTCGAAGCCCGCTTTACACGATTAACGGTAAACGTTGTACCTAATACGGATCACATGCAGTAGTCTGATTAATGGCGTGTCAGACGATTGCGAAAATTGACTTAGGGACGGCTAAACATATTTTTTGCATATATATTCTCTCTTCGTGATATAACCGTCACGATTTATATACCGACCAGACACCAATTCGTATCATGTGAATTGCATATATCCGTAATTTGGTATATTTGTCCTCATTTTCTTTTCGTACGATTTTGAAGAGTTCCGCGACATAACCTATAACTTTTGTATATACCGTGTCTACTTTGGGGACCAATTTGGAATTCTATCATCGTCCCAGTGAATGAAATTAGAATTCCTTTACTCGCTTGAAATGCCTTCTGCGGTTATTACAAAGTGCCACTTCGTGACTGTATAAGTGAACGTAAAGTATCTGCACTTATAATATATATAGACTTCTGTACACAGTCGTAAAGCTGGAATCTAAGCCAAGGCTTGGCTTTCCTATCTCTGCTACGCGCACTAAAATATACGTTAAACGTATAAAGAAATAAATAGAGAGTACAGTGTATACCGTACTATACCTATAACGTATAGTATGATTACATTCGCAAAAGAATATTTACGTTAGTCAATAATTTACCATGTACTATTCCCGCAAAGTTTTCCACTGTTCTTTTCTATGCTTCATTGTGTCGCGCGGAAAAAAGGAAAGATTATCGTACGACCTGAGGTTCGTCCGCTTTCCGCGCGCGGCGCTAGAGTCGACTCTCGGCCGGGTGGTAGTTTACGCTCGTAAAGTCGGCCGGGTTACTCGTCGGCCACTCACTGAAAACATTTCGAGGATGCCAGGTGCACGATATAATATTCCCCGAGTGATACGAGCTCTGTGTATGACGTATTATAAATACCCCGTTACGCGAGGAGCAGCTCCCGAGCAATCACAGAATCGAACGACGCTTACGAAACGTCGGTCTCCGTTGTCCCCCGGTGACAAACCGTCATTGTCCCAAGATGGCGGATCGCGTGCATTCCTCGTGCAACTTCAAATGTCTATAAACGCTCGAAAGCGGCTCCTTCGTAATTATCGATAGAAAAAGATCTTTTTCTTTGTCATTAACAAAAAGAAAAGGACAGACTGCAGACTCTATTATATCCGTACACCTGTTTTGCTTTGTGAATATGAAATATCTATACGGTATACGGACAACAAGGCCTTGGAGGTTATACATAGGGCAATTGAGATTTGCCCGGCGGTCTTCGAGAATGGTTATCCTACGTAACCTTATGTACGTATATATTTGTGCAAGACTTTACTATGTATAACTATAGCCAATATGTATATATATCCATTCTCGTTGCTGGTCCGCCGTGCGCGCTTTTACAAATGGAGTTTTGTAAGAGGCTGACAGGTGTTTCGTTGCGTCACGAACCCGGCGATTTGTCGCCCGCGACTCCCTGTGTCCTTTGCGTACATAAAGCCAACCGAGGCATGTGGAGGTATATTATCGAGATACCAGAGAAAAGTTATGGCTCCTTCGGCTTCCTCCGTGGGATTTAAATCCCGAGCGGAGCTCACGCGCACGTGTGCACCATATACCTGTATATACGCATATATATATATGGATCCACGTGTACGACTATTTTTCAGGGAGAAGTCGAAGGCTTCCAGGTTGAAGAAAAAAAAAAAAACCTTGCCCTTTCACGGCCAACTGTTCACTTACTTGCTTATGCTCAAAGTGAGATAACGGTATATACGCGGTATAGGCGACTGCTATATATAGCTATAGAGAATCCTATAAAACGTACAACGGACAAAACGTAACGCGAATCCTTCGACCCTTTACAAATACGTTCGATTCAATAATTCAAAATCTATAAACTCACATGTGCGATTTAAATCGTAAAATGGCGTCCGTCAAAGTCCAAACATTCAAACGTTCATTCGGGATGAATAGTTGGGGGAAAAAAGATATCTCAGGGAGAATCGATCACAGTATATGTACATGATTAGGTTCAAGGATAGGTTATTATGTATGCATGTATATACATATGTCAGGTATGTTACGTAACAATGCCTGAAACCTGCTGTGCAATCATTGACCAATCTGTAGTAAGTTTTTTTAAATTTTTATTTTTTTTTTATTTTTTTTATTGAGTCTGAATCCAAACACCTGCTTGACTTTTTATTCTTTTTTTTTTTGGACTCACTCCTTTGTCTTTTTTAACATGGTTTGAATACGTGTAAAGACCATCGTCCACGTTCTTCCCGTGGCGTTTCTTAAAGCAACCGCCTTGTGGCCTCTGCTGTACCACCTACCTGTAAATGTTTGAAATTGACAAATTACCCCTCTCCCCTCCCCCATATAGTGGTTCCTGCTATCCAGAAGGCATTATATTCTCCAGCACGATCAACCTTGATGGGGAGGCAGCGGGGTGGCCGTTGTAAGAATTTTTATTTAACGTCGACCCCGACTCCGGGGGATTCTCGAGAACGTTAATACCCCGTCTACCCCATTATGCTAATTATTAATCGTTTGACCCTCGTATACGGCAGGCGTCGCGGTTACGGCCTTACGGGGATATACAAATTAGAAATTCCATAATACCGAAGATGCTTGTATACGGTCAGGGGTTTTAGCTCGACCAAACAGCTTGGGCCGTAAAGCTTGTAGCATTAAAAAAAGAGAGAGAGATACCTGGTAGCGACAGTGGTACCAACTATGAAAGTCGGTGAAATTTTTTTCGGGTAAAATGAAAAATGTCTCCTAGACGAAAATTCCTTTGGAAAAGTAAATACCATGTGGGTCTGTAACTTTTTTTTTTTTTTTTTTAGTATCTAGAAATTTTTTTTTTCTTCGATATCCCATGGAAACATCGTTAAAATCCCGAGGTCGCACGTACCTACCGTTAAGTTGTCGGCACTGTTACGTTAAACATGGGAGAGGCGGATACGCAGCAGCGATTCTCTGCGAATGAACCGCGTGAACGGTGAAAGTGTGCGAACTCTCGCGAAGAATGTAGCATAAGCCAACCTGGAGCAAAAGCATGGGATATCGTCGATGGTGTAACTAGTGGGAAACGGAACGAAAATATACCTTAGGATAAATCCGCAAAAAATAATTATACGCAGTATCCCGTAGAACCTCATGGAAATACAGGGGAAATGAAAAAAAAAAAAAAAAATCCAAAAATCATAGTAAAATTAGGCAAGTAAAATATATCGGATGGCCTGTTAATTATGCCGATAAAAAAATTGATCATCATTCAAACCACGCCCTTGATAATGATAGTCGCCGTGTAACTAGACAGCACGAGTCATCATGTACGACTTTCCCGTGTTGCCGATCCGCGCTCTCGCCTATGACACACTCAGCTGTATCTACGTACAGTGCGATGGACCCGAAGAGACACTTTACGAATCTTATCCGTACGTATTTCCTTTTACCGTGCGTGACTCACCGTCGTAGGAAGGCATACTTCATGGAATTGAAAATATGGCGCGCTGACGTATAAAAACCATAGAGTAGAATCGCCGGCGAGTCCAGTCAAGATGTGACCGTCGGTGCGAAACTGAATTGCCATTGGAAGAAAAAATATAAGACGCGAATATCACCGGGAAATATATTTATCGGCATTCGTATCCAGTGAAAGTGCCACAGGTGGCCTAGCGCATTGGCTCGTGCGTACGTGGACAAAGATTTTCACATGGCGATTCACGTTTACGATGGATTAACAACGACGACGTACTGCGATACCTCCTGTAACGTGTTCGAGCTTGTTTACCCGCTTGGAATTCGATACGAGACGCCACTGGCAAACATAACCTCTCCGGACGCGCCGAGCATTCTGGGAAATGTTTGTCAAATACGTCGACATGTTTCACGACGACGGCTACGCGTCCGACACGCAGAACGTAGGTACATAGGACAATGTAAGCTGAACTGACTGTAGAAGATTTTTCTTTATGTATATAGATATATATCGTACGAGATACGTGTGCATAACGACAGTACGTACCATCTCTATGATAATTAGGCAATGAATCAGCCATTTACGACGAAACGGGCCTGCGAGTCGGACGAACGAAGACAATATCACGCGGTCGTGTATTCAAATATTAGCGCGCTTGCCGTCGGACCGAAGTTCGGCGGTTGAGAGTCTCTTTTTTGACTCCGTTAGTACCGAGAAAATACGTTAGTCGTTTATCCACTGTAAATTAGACTTGTGTTCGCTCAGGCTTTTCATACCCTTTTATTTTAATTCCCACAGGTCCAAAGGCTCGCCGAGTACGAAAGGTACCTGGGACAGGAAGCGAGGAACGTGGTGGAAAACGGAAGCGGCGCTATCGGCAGTGGCGCCGTATTGCAGCGAGGTCAGCTCGAAGGCGATTTACATCGTATACAGGAACTCTTTCCGGGTGACAATCTGCGGCTACACGAGCGAGATGTCCTCACTACGGTACGTCAATACATTTTTGAGGTTAAATTTGAAAATAATCCGTCGTAACCTCAAAATGATCGAATGAAAGTCAAACTTTTTTTCGTCACTACGGGTTACGATGTGGGTCGATTGTTTTTTTGGGTTAAAGTAACGAATACAGAAAAATCGTCAAAGACATTCAGCATTGTTAACGCGACACGCGTAGGCCTGCGCGTAAAAGCGATTAGCATATTGGGCGGGCGGCTGCTATTGTCAAGAGCAAGGATTACGAACCATTAGAAAGGCTAGTTGGCACATTCGGCCTCTCGTTACTGTATCGTACGCAGGTATGGTGCATTGTGGAAAGAGTCTGCACGTTTGAAAAAGTACTATCCACTGATTGTCAGGCAATGTACGGACAGCTATACGTACTGTATATACATATACGAACGGTATATACAAAGGGATTTCATAATGGGCTGAAGACTCCGGAGGACGTTGGGACACATTGAGGGTACGCAATAGGTTGGGCATTATCGTTGCTCGGTTATGCTAATCAGGTTATTGTCATACGATTTCGATTCTCAAAACGCGTAGCTCCCACGTGGTAGAGTCTTTCCTTTTTTTTTTTACTTTCTCCTTAACCCTTTCTCGAACGAGTGATCCATCCTTTGCCTCCACTTGATGACTGACAGTTCTTTGACAGTTGGTCAGAAAATGTGTACGTTGGGGAAACTTCGAAACTTTTGTGTATTTTTGACTTCACGTTTATTCATGATGTTCCTTTTTTTTTTTGCAAGGGCCGAAGGGGGTAGAAAAAGGGTAGACAGGGGGGGCATACCGGTAGCCATTTGGTAAATCGTTTTATACGCGTCTTCGTGGATATTTTTATACGCGCTGTTGGGGCACTCGGATATATTGTTCAGGTTTCAGGTATCCCGTGGCGCGCGACTAATGTCACGGAGGAGCCGGAGATTCAGGCGAACCTATCGGCGTACGTTTCAATTTCATGGAAATACAAATGGCTTTTCATGCGCTTCTCGGTAACTTTCGATGCCAATGGCCGAGGACTTGGGTATTGTTAGCGGATGACGTAGGAAACGTAGGAAACGTCGATTCGCAATTTACTGGCGACAATTAAATACTGAACCGAGTGTGAAACGACGTGTGGACGCGACATAGGAAGTTTATTGTACTTGTTCGTCAGGCATAACTTTTGTCCCCGATGGTACAATCGTTGATAGGAAAAATGTTCTTGATGAACGCTGTTCTCTTATTTTCTTTCTCTCTTAAGAAGACTGTACAAGATCAAGAGGTCCCTGACCTCTCTTTAAGGACGACAAAGTAGTCGAGGGACGCTAAATAATTTTTTGTTTCTTATAATTTTCAGAAAATGAAGAGTCTGATACGCAAGAGGAGCGGCGGTAATACCGGAAGGCTGACCAGAGTGCTGTCGCAGAAATCGCTTAACGCCACCAGCAATGCGCCAGCACCGAAATTGCCACCTAGAACCTTCTTGCTGGAGACTCCGGTACAGTTTACCACGGTGAGGGATAAAGTTTTTTGAACTGACGTTGCGTCAGGACCGATCGCTGGGTCCTGGTAGTTTTTGAAAATAATAATGGAGCACCGTGTAATAATTTCTTTTTATCCTTCAGGGTATGCAGTCTCAGGAGAGGCACCTATTCCTCTTCTCGGATCTGCTGCTGATCGCAAAAGCTCGTAGCAGCGGCAACTTCAAGTTGAAGCAGTCGGTGAGGATGAGCGAGCTTTGGCTGACGGCCGGTCACATTGAGGACGTAGCTGAAACAAACAAGTCTCAGGAAACCAGCTTCGTCCTCGGCTGGCCAACGACGAACGTCGTCGCCACCTTTATGTGAGTATCGCAACGCGCGAGTATTTAATTCGAGCCCCCGAGTCGAGACGTAACGAATGTCCGTACTTGCGTACGTAGGGTACGTACCGGGTACCAGAGTCGCCATGATGAAATTCTGAGAATGTCTCCTTCCATGATTTCCAGGACTGCCGCAGCGCGAGATCTCTGGTGGGGTCGACTCACCGAACTCGTACGAGAGGAGAGTATGAAGGAGCCGCCAGACACGAACATTCAGGTCGTGTATCACGACAACGACACCAATACGGAATACGTAAGTACTTGTCGCGATGGCACCACGTTTGCGTCGCTGGGACGCAATGTCAGTGGGGTCCATGGAAAGGCGATAGAATGCTACGAGGATGGCCCTCTTGGTGTTACAGTGCAAGACTATCGTGGTGGGACCGGAAATGACCGCTGCCGCCTGCGTAAATCTGGCTACAAGACTGTTGGATCTTCAGGGTCCGTTTCAACTGTGGGCCAGGACGTCGTCCGAGGAAGCGCCTTATCCTCTTATTGGTCACGAGAGACCGTTCGCCATAAAGCTCTCTAACCTGAGACACACTATATCTGCGGAGGAGGGTTTCGACCTGGAGCATTGTAACAAGAGTGGCCATGACAATTGCCACTTTGTCCTCAGGCCAGTTCTCAAGTCTCCCGTCAAGAAGAACAAGTCCAAGATCACTGGTTTACTCAGGAGATCGTTATCCCTCAATCCCAGCGTCTTTGGCGTAAATCTTTCGCGATTGGATGAGAATGGATTGCCAAAGCCTGTACTCGTTATGCTGCAACAGCTATTTGCCAAGGGGCCCTTCACTCAGGGTATATTCAGGAAATCGGCTAATGTCAGGATCGTCCGGGAACTCAGGGATCAGATAGAATCCACTGGTGATCCTAGCTGTCTAGAGGATGCACCGATCATTGCAGTGGCAGCACTGCTCAAGGACTTTCTAAGATCATTGCCAGATCCTTTACTCACGTCCCATCTGTTTCCACTCTGGATGGCAAGTCTCGACGCAGCCAATTCTGTACAAACGATCAAGAAGTAAGGACACGTTTTGATTTTCAATTGTCAAGCATTTGTGGAACCTTTTTTTTTTATACTTATTGAATAATGCGCTTATCTCTGATTTCAGTATCCTTGATCGACTACCCAAGGCAAACTATACTCTGCTATCGCATCTGATATGCGTGTTGCATCACATAGCCAGAAGGTCAAAGCACAATTTAATGTCCGCTACCAATTTAGGGGTCTGCTGTGGTCCCAGCTTACTCTGGTCCCAAAATCCATGCGTTAATCAAAGCCGAGCCATACCTGCCTTGACGGAAATGCTCATTCGCCATTGCGAGGCACTCTTCGGCGAAGGCGTCACTCAGCTTCTTGGCGAAGAGCGCAGCGACAGCGGTGCCGAGGAGAGTACAGACAGCCTACACTGTGAGTATACAAATCGTCATAATGAATATTGACAGTCTAGATATATATTCATAAAGGTTTAACGTTGTCATCTCTTTATTTCTCATTGCATTGTTATACAGCAGGTGGACTTTCATTGGACAGCCTCGATCTGACGGAACCACCACGCAAGGATCACATGTCCTTGTCACGTGACTCAGGACTAACCTTATCCGACGGTCAATTATTTATCCCCGAATCACCGGTCGGCTCGGAGGATTCCGCCGTGAACGCATCGTCCTCCAGCTTTGACAAGTCACTGGCAAAGGAGGAAAAGTCCAGCAGCAAATCTTACGTCAGGGTCTACGGAGGGTGGGAGGAGAGGATAAACTCGTATACAGCGGGAAATCATCAGAATGGCGTGGAGCACAGTTTCCGGGAGGAGAAGAGTTCTTCGGCGGGATATCCAAATCCGAATTTTCAACGTCAAGACTGGCTGAGGGCGCAGCTTAAGAGGACGCCAAGGACCAAACTGGAGGAACACGAACATCGTAGCAAGGATCGTTTTGACGAGAAGGATCTGTATGCCAGAGAGTACCTACGTCAGGATTCTATGAAAGAGAACGTAGAGAATTGTAAAGACGTCTACGGCTCCCAGATGGATGTTTCCCGTGAGTTAAGAACCGAATACGACAGATCCTCGCAGCAGGATAACTGTACGGAGCGTGTGTCCATCCATGATTCTGAACAAGACTCCAGTGGGGATTCTCCAATGTCTAGCAAGCGATATGACTTTAAAAAAGATCGTTTTGGAGAGTTCAAAAAAGTCAAGTCCGAAGTGTACGTTAGTCGTGACTCGCCCATCTCTCAAAATGGTAGCTACTCCGGCAGTGATCTCTACGAGTTCAAGAAGGTCAAGAGCGAGATCTACGTCAACAAGGACATCCGTAGTGAACGCTATGAATATGAAAAGTCGGAGAACAACATCTATGGGAATCGAGATACTACTGCTGACATCTATGAGTCACGTGAGAGAAATGATCTGTACTCCTTCAAACAGGCTGAGGCCATAGACGTTTATGGCGATGAGGATGAGGACGCTGAACGAACATGGCCGGATACACCACCTCCATTACCACCAAGGCTAAAGCATTTGCCACCTGTTCATATGAGTCTAGAAGAGCGACATAAGGTCGCTGGTAGGTCCAGGTCACTTCCATCGCCACCACCTTATCGTCCACCGCCTCAACCTCGGGCACCGATTACTACCAGACATCTTGGATATCCCAGATCGATCGTTGACGATGAGAGCTACGTCTGAATGAACTTTCACCGGTTCACGGCGGACATTTTTTTCAAAATCAAAGAAGTCGAGTCACACCTAGATATGCGCCTGCGATATTTCACAGGGCAACAGAACCTCGTGATCTCGTTGTGACTAAACCTAGTCGAAACAAAAAAAAATGAATAACTGTTTACGCTCTCGGAGAGCGTCGGAATGCGAGAGTATGAGAGAATGAGAGAAGAGTGCGTCTCTTTTCTTCTAATTTTTTGTATTGTCTTTCTTTTTTCTCTTTGGACGAGTCGTCGTCACAATTGGACGGGGGCGATCTAAGTGCATTTTAGATTTTAAAGGAAAAATGTCTGGGAGATACGCGAAAACAAAAAAGAATAGAAAGAATTACGAGTACTTGAAAATAAAGATATATTTTCGAAATATAAGGAGCGCGACGCTGCGCGCGACTATGTCAAATTCGTAATGATTAATAATCACTCTCTGAGTGTTTTTATTCAGTGATCCAGGGTGCTTCCAGCCTTAATTAATAGGTCATTAGGTATTTCCCATAAAGAGAGACAATTAGATTAAGGATTAGACATTCTAGAAAACACTGACAAGACTCAGAATCGAAAATGATTATAGTAATTTCTGTTCGTTGCGAGTTCATTGTTTTAAATGAGATAAATATTGTATAAAACATTTTGAAAGTCCCACTGGACGTTACCATTCGCAAAATGTAATCAACGACATAAATGAAAATCACGATGGTTGCGAATCTCATAAAAACCAGTATTTAAAAAAAAAGTTCACGCACAATTTTTTAAAAAGTTTGCTTCAAACGGATCTTGTACAATGTATAATTCTTTCACGAAAAAGGAAAAAAAAGCGACTGTCTTATACGTAATGAAAATTATAAAGCGCTACCCTGCACACCTCGCCGCCATCATCATCCACTCCTTTTTTTTGCATTGTGTCAATTAAAAAAATTAAATGATCAGATTAGCGATCAGGTCTCTCGCGAGTAACGAACATGACACTAATTCTTACCTAATAGGTATAACATAATTTATAGGCGTAACACATTGAATAGATAGAAGAAGGAAAGAGAGAGAAGTTTCGTGCGCAAAATAGGAGCTAATCATGTGCGATTATCCTAAGAAGTTAAGATGGCGAACAGATGATGCCGCCCCCGATGAGGCAGATAATTTTCCTTTTCATTTCTCTTGTAAATATAAAATATACGTGTAAACTTTTATATCGCTGAGAACTTAAAAAAATATAAAATACATATTACGCAATGCCACTAAAATATGTACACTTATCTAAATTATACGACATACTATCAAAGTTAAAATATATTTCGTATTTTATACAGCCCAATCGAATATCATATTTATTCATTCTCCTTGAAGTTGATCCAATTGACAATTTTTTTTTTCCCGCTATTATCCCACGCAACATTCGCATGTCTTCACGCGATACTAATCAATCCGATGAGGTTATAACAGCAACAAGGTCTGCATTTACAATGAGAAAATCGATGAACCATGCAATTCGCAGAATTTGCTAGTCTACAGTTGGATCGTCCACTTAACAACGAGCTAAGAGTATTTAAAAAAGACATATTTGAACAGTATATCATTCTCTTCCGTTAACACTTATGGTTACTCCAGACAGAGGACCAGTTGAAAAAACATACTTTAGAATTCCATTTCGAGCACAAGCCAATAGAAAGAGCTTTGCACCTGTTAACGTGAGTATATATTTAAAAGAAGATATATATTTAAAAGCCTGTAAGTACTTAAGAAGATTGTTACAAGCTTAAAAGCTTCCTGTCATAAAAATTCCATCCCAATACCTAATACCGGTATGACGAATGCAACCTCGTAAAAGGCTAATCGTAACTACTGGTAATGTCAACTCCTATATACATGAGAAAATTATGCAAGTAATTATCACTACGAATCTCAGAACGCATCTTTGCTTTTAAGGCTACCCTGCATGTGCATTGCACAGATAGGTGGCCATACAAAAGTAGTGGGGATGATTCGGAAGCGTTCGGCAGTGTTCGGTAAGGATCGTTTTCTCCGTAAAGCCAGATAATACAGACCCCGGCTCAGTTGTCATCCGAACGTCGTCGTGTTGGTTTTATTGCGTCACGGGTGCATCTCGTACGAGAATGCATTATTGCATGCCAGTGTCGTCTGCGCGTATCTAATTGGTGATAATTTAAACGCGAAATCGATAAATAAAATGAGTGTACGAAATGTGGCAAGAGGGAGGTGAAGCTCCGTGCGAGTCTGCGGCCGATACGTGAGTAATGTGCATTCTTGTTTTATCTCAGTTTTAATGTAAGAAGGTGCAATCGATGAATATCTTGCGTCCGATTCCTCATTCGTTTCTCTTCGTATATATACATAACGTAGAAGATGCCAGTGTGTATCTCTACCCGTTTGCCGTCCGTTCGACGATACTAAAAATACATACGACTCTATGCATGTGTCTTTATCTTTTTCTCTCCCCATCTTCGCGTCCGCTGCAACCCTAATTATATGCTTTAAAGCCTCGTTTCGTTTGGATGTTCAGCAGCGCTAGAAATTACTTGCACTCCTTGCTCTTCATAATTTGTATTAATGGATTTATCATTGGAATTTATTAATTTAAAGTGACAATTTTAATTTTTCCATTTAATCATTCTTTTTTGGTTTCATGACAGATATTATTTCAATTAACGGGTCATGTTTGCGGATGTAATCATTTCCTTTTTTTTTTTTAAATAGGGTTGTGTTTTGTATGTTATTATATTGTGTGGAAATTTGTAATTTAAATTTTTTTCCGCCTGTCTTGTACTAAGGATGACTGACTTAGTAGGACTTTTCATTTGGACCAACATTATTTGGCAGCTGTGAATTCTTTAAAGAATGAATTCAAAGGCCTGCTGCACTGTAGACTTGCTGCATTGGAATATTTATGAATGATGCTGCAGCATGAATGTAATAGAATATAAAATAGCTGTAACTCTTTTACTACTTGTCATTACTATTGTTGCATTTATTTATTGGCAGATATTTCTCCCTTCATTGTTTTCTCCTGGCATCAATTGATTTATTGTAGGAAATACTAGCAATATGATTTGCAACTTAGGATTTTTATTTATTTTATTTAAAAAATAGCAAATAAGTTGTGGTATTATTGTCTCTATGGAATTCAACATGTATTTGATTTTTAACATTATCTTTTTGTATATTTTATCTATGTAATTTCTTGTAATATTTTTTAAAAAATTTTAATGCATTTTTGTACTACACAAAATTTATATCTTATTGTTCTATCAGTAACCATACACTTCCTCCTTTATTTTGCCTAACGAAACTAACAGTACTGACGACCCACTAACCAGTCCCATTGTTCTGTCACCAAATACAGTGACGCAACACCTATGAGAATAGGACATACTTCTCAGTACACGCTGCTAGCAAGTATATCATTAAATGTATTTGAATGAAGATTCTTTAGATATATCCATAGTCTTGACTGTTGCTTTATATTCTTTTTATCTAGATTACACTATTTTAGCATGAGCAAAGAGCATTAGATAATCAGTATATACAATTGCAATTGCAATTGAATTGAATTGGCATCAACATTATGCAATTATACTATTGTCACTTAACTGATTTATGTTGCAAAACATCTTTTAAACTATAGGTTGCTAGCTACTCATAATTTACAGTACTCTTACATCCCTATTCATTTACATATATGTTCCTATGAGTCAAAGGATGAATATAGTTGTCAAAGCTGCCATTAAAATTATATGTGAGCAATACGAATGCCCTCAATCACATTGATTTAGACATCAGTGTTTGGTATCAGCAGGGAAATATAACTTTCCAGAAAGGGTGACGATATCCAAAAACTGAGTGTGATACAGACGCTGCCAAGCCTCTTGGCCGGAGACGCACAGTCATGTATAACAAGAGTGATACCGAAGATGCAGCAAACTCTGCCCACAGCCTCTACAGAATTTCACATGGCTGCTTCTTCTACCTTCAAAACAATTCTGGAACAAAGGCTGGTCAACTATGCCACCTTTACACAGACATTCCTGCAAAGCATCTTAAATTCACTAGACAGTCGAGATCCAAGTAAGTTGATACAAAATTCATGTCCTTGGTGTTCTGATACCAAATCATATCCACCTATTATGTACATGTATAATTGAAGTTGTAGCTCATGCATGGTTGGAGACCTTACTGGATGTGATCGAATTACTTCCTGTGGATGTAATAAGACTGGAGGTGAGTAAAATTAAATTAAATGAATCTATTATTTCTAATTAATTCTTAGTAACAAAATCAATAAAAAGCTATCATTTAATATTCTTAAAAAAATATGAAACAAAGCCATTTCAAGGTGAAATCTATTAATTTAACCATTCATGAGTACAATACCTGCTTGATATACAACAGATTAGAAACCGATTACTCTGCACGTATTCTAATACTGAACGCGTGTCTGCATACAAGTGCATATATCAGTACAGTGCAGTTTATATGGCGCATAAAATATGCATTGAATAAGATAGGCGTACTTTGCCATTCCCGATACATGTTTAATAATTGAAAAAAAAAAATCCTACAGATCCTTCCCATAAGCATAAACAAAGGACAGTTATCGCAGCCTATCCACTCCAGGATAACCTGCTGCAAGCTGGTGGGGAAAATTTGCACACGATTTGATGCTGTCTTGTGAGTATGCACTTTTGGAGTCACCAGAATGATCTCTTGAAATTAAAAAATTCTGTCACAAAAAAATCCCACGGTATGACTAGAGGCGAAACGTATTTTTCACCAACAATAACGCCCGTTGAGAATTCGCTGATTCATCTGAAAATAATTATCGCTCATTTATTAATTTTAATGATGCACCGCGAATGAGAAATTATAAGATTTTTTATTTTATAATGATCCAAGAGTTCCTACCATTATCAAGTCATTGATACTTTCACGAGATGACTATGCTTCTTTTTTTTATTTCCATGCAGAAACATTAATTTTCTCACATTGGTCCTATAACTTTCTACTCTGTTTTCCTTGCACCTGCATCCTTATTATCTTTCATGACTAGTCATTCCACCGTAATATCCATAGTCATTGGGTCATCGTTATGTCCTCGCGAAAAGTACATACATATGGTGTCCTTGTTAAATAAAACTAACGGTATCTTCAATAGGATTAAGAAGGAAGTACTGCCAACGGTACACTCGCTCTGTCAGGATGTGAACAACGAAGTTCGAGCTTGCATCTGCTCGCAGCTGCGTTACGTGGCTGAGGGTCTTGGTGCAGAATCAGTGAGGTCGGAGCTGCTACCATCTTTAGTCGAATTGGCAAGCGACGAGGAGAGCAACGTAAGGCGTGCAGCTGTTCAGACAATAGTACACTTGCTGCCTCAATTTCCACAGGGTAAAGTTCACGCAATTTTACACCAACCACAAGTGAACGAGTACAAACGAAAGATGATTTCTTTATACCTCGTCGCAGAATCCCTGACTGTTTGACACTTGCAGATGTTATAAAGGCGGCGATCGCGCCTCTGATAAGGAAGCTTTGCGAAAGTGCTCTTAAGTCGGACGACAATGTCATTTGTATCATTGCCCAAGAGTTTGGAAGACTGGCCATGGGTTTGGAAAGTACGTTTCTTGGCTTTATCTTTAATATATCCAGATGACTTCTGCGTTGTATGGTTTGGTCGGTAATGACTTTTCTTTTCTACTTTTTTTTTACTTCCAGATTCCCTGACCGCAGTTGAAAAAAGTTGGATCATTAAGTATTTCCAACAACTCGCACAGATGGGTGTACCGTCTATGAAGAAAGAAAAGCCGAAGCAGGACTTTTCTTTCGTGAGTATACGTATTCCTCAAAAATTAAATATTCAGTGTGTATAGTATGATAAAAAAGAAAACGGAACGGCTTTAAGTAAACTGCTGTAAAGAGGAACCCATGTTCAAATAAAGTAGGAGGGAGAGAGAGTGTATTTAAGATTTTGGAAAACGTTGTAACTCAAGCACCGCGTGCATCGTGTCGCAATGATATTCCTGTTTTTTTCTCTTTATTTATCTTAAAAATAGAAGTGGGTTTCCAGGTCTACGGAATACACGTGTTTGGGACTGAATGTTTTCGTTGGTTTAATTTCTCTATTTTTTTTACTGCAGTAGCATCCATTGCTTGGTGTCATTTATCTTTCTTACCTATGACTACATAATTTAGAGTCAGCTAGATCACTCGTCCTACCTCATATGCTGGAAGAATTTTATTCTGTTCTCTTTTGTTTCAGACAAGCAATAATCCCACTGTTAACGAAAGGTATGTAGAATGCCGTAGGCATTGTGCTTTTAACATTCCTGCCATGTTTCTCTTTTTAAACACGGCCACCGAAGACGTTAGTGTATTGCTACCGACATTTAATGATTTGGCTGGCGATACATATTACATGGTCCGCAGGACAATAGCATGTGGAATTCACGAGGTGAGATATTAATACTCTATGATATATTGAAGCTATTGAAGTGAAACGTTTTGTACGAACTTCTTTGTTTTTCAAGGTGGCAAAAGCATTGGGTCAAGACCTGGGTCTTATCAATGCAGATCTTATAAAATTATTGAAAGACGATGCTGAGGAAGTTCTACAAGGTCTCGTACCGCATTTAGCTACAACATTGGAACTTCTGGTACAAAGTCAAGTGATTGGAACCGATCAGATTGTGAGTCTTAAGCAAAAGTGTGATTGATCGATGAATTATGATTCTTTGTCGTATGGATTATGTTATTAATTATGAATTATATGGCAGGATTCTACTGTAATGGAGCTGGGAAGATCATTGTTAAAGTGCGAATCTGAAATTGCAAGGACTAACAATTGGAGGTTATCGGAGTTGATGTTTAGTCAATTGGAAATATTGCCCAAGTGTTTTCCTAGTGATTTTATTTATACGTACTTTGTTCCTGTTGCTTTGAACAGGGCAGCCAATGCAGTAAGTTTCATGTACTGAATATTTTAAGGTATCCATTGAATTTTTTTTTAATAGATTAATTATTATTCTATATTTAGAGACCTATACCCATTCGATTGGCTGCTGCTAGAACACTTCTTATTTATCTGAGATATAACCTTAAATCCACGCAACGTGTGGAGCTGCGTAATAAAATGTATATGGATCTGGCACATAGTAAAAGTTGTTACGTTAGGATGATCTTCATCAGAATGATGATAGAAGCTCTTGTAATATTCTCATCGACTTACTTCAAAGAGCATTTTTATAACGTTCTACTTGCCCTCACCGAAGACCCTGTGCCTAATGTACGATTGAAAGTCGTACAGCAGTTGCCTGTTCTGAAAAGCCTCTTGAGACTACCATCTGATAAAAAATTGTTGAACACCTTAGAGGGAAACGTACGTTCTTTGATGAATAATGAAAAAGACAGGGACGTGGTTGCCATGTTAACTAACGTCATTCACAAACTGGATGGGATAGACGTGAAGCACGAGGGACAAACCGTAAGTTAATACAGAATTCTGTATTTCCATGAATCATTATTTTGAAAATATACATTCATCAGGTTACTAAATTCACAAAGCAAGAGAATGAAGATTCAAGGAAGTTGGAGGAAGAGAAAAAATTGGGTGCAATAAATCTTGGGAAGCCGACAGGTACGACTATTGCCCATCTAACTGGAAATTCCAGTACCGGAAGTCATATAAAAAAGCAAACTGGAGCTACATCGAAACTCAGTTAGTACTTTACTGAAGCTGTATATAATTTTTTTTGTTATTGTCCCATAAAACATACTTATTTTTACATTTTTATTTTTTACTCCACAGGTAATTCTGCACGAGTAAGCGTGGGCGAGATATTGAGCACGAAGACAGCCAGACAGAATAATTCTCTTAATATAGTAGACTCAGCGTCTAAGCCATTGTGAGTAAAATTATGATTCATACATCTGAAAAGTGTTCAGTGACGTTTAAATTGTGTATCACGTATGCCCATTGTTCACGGACATTATTGATTTTGCATTGTTTCCCATTCAAGAGTCCAACAACCCGCGGCTAAGGGTAGTAGACAGTCCGTCGGTCCGATGGGTATGAACGATTCTCAGAGCAAAACGACGAACATTAAACGTAAGCATTGTCCTTTTGTATTTCTATTGACAGTAACGCGCCGCGCCGCGCCTTCTCTGGTGAATGCATTACTCATACGAGTGACGTTGCACTGTTTTACAGAGGGACAAACAGCATCCAGACAAATAACAGATATATCCAAAGCAAGGTAAGAAATATAGTTACTGCTATTATTAACCGGTGGAGGGCCGGGAGGGGAACCTCCCCAAACAGTATAATTTATATTAAATCTGGTTAGCGCAAAAGAATTATTAGGTGCGCGTACCGTCAAAGTAAATTTAATAAATTCTAACTAATATCTTTAAGTGATATTAGAAAATGCTAAAATTTCTATATACTAGTATCCGTATGCTTCTAGTACATCTAGCAACAACTTAACATCAAGTTGGGCGCGACTAGCATCTAACAGCATGCTACTAACCCACCCCTGGGAGAAAATCGGTCATTCGAATTCTAACTATAGTCTAAGCTCAATGAGTACAGTCAGCGAAGCTTCGTGCCATGACTATGCAGGACAAAAAGTACAATGCGACTGTTGCGACCTGGCTGAGCACATCTTTCAGAACAGACTTGGAATGCCAAGTACTACAGAGCAGGAATACGCGTGCTGCGCTTGCGCGAGCTCAGCGTATGAGTGCTCAAGAGCCAGCAGCAATACGTGGCCACAAAAACACGATCACAGTCCCACTCCTGACTTCACCAGGTCCTTTCTTCTAACTCACCTTAAGAAGGACAGGCACGAGTTCCTGCAGAACTTTTTACTAACACGGGAAGGCTTCGGTAACAAGGCACCAGGCTTGGCAGCCATTCGAGCAATGACGGACGCCATTAGCGACAGAGATGACTATACAGCTCATTACAATTCTTGTTGGGCTTTTAGCTCCATGCCTGAGATACCAGTCACACTGCTGGATGACGAATTTCTCGTGGACGCTGGGATCAGGATACCTGCACAGTTATCATCCTCGCAGAGTACCTCCAAGATACCCAATCTTCAGGATATCATTTATCGTAATCGACGAGAAGGTAGTGTCGATCGATCACGAAGAAACAGTGTCAACTTTGAGAAACTGAAGACCCAGAGACACTCTGCCGAGTATGAAGATTCTCTGAAGCCAAGATCCAGTTGCATGGACCAGCACGTGAAGAGTAACAGGAACTCTATGGACTATGAAGACACCCTGAGGTCATCAAGATCGTTCAAGGGGATGCAAGAAGAACAGCATTATCCCAAGGAGGACACCAAGACGAAGAGGTACTCTGGATCTCAAGCGAGGACCAGATTTGGATATGAGCCTAGTCCGGGTAGGGTGTTCGATGACAAGTCTAGAAGGAATTCCTTGATCCTTGACAAGGATAAGGCTAAGGCAGCCCAAGGCAAACCAACCCTGGATAGGACGAAAAGGCACTCTGGTAATTTTTGGAAGTTACCTGAGCCCAAGGATTCTAAGCAGAAGTTTAAGCGACACAGTGTCGAGGTCACCGATTACAATCCTGTCGAGAGGAATAATAGGACTCTTAGGAGATTTTCTACTCTGGACGTCAATCACAATCAAGGATCTAGTAAGATTCCTCTGAGAAACTGTATCATTACTGGTAGTAGGACAGCTCCTGTTACTAGGGCCTCAAGTCCAATTAGATCCGTACAACAATTCTCTTTCAGTAGAGACACTAGGGAGGATATACAAACGTCTTCAAGGGACGCGCGATTCCTGTCTAGATTCAGTTCGAGTGACGAGGAGGTCGACAAGCTCTGCCAAAAGTTTATTAACTGTCAAGCCGCGCGTTGTAGCAGGGCCTCAAGTCCCAGAAGCAGGGACAGCCGATTGCCTGTAAGACTGCAGAGAAAGAAATTATAAAATTCTTTTATTCTCATCTATGACGAACAACGGTCTCGGGACGGCGTTTTAGAAATTTTTTAAATTATTTATAACAGACCTCTAATATTTTTCAAAAGATATTTGACTGTCTACAACTTCCGGCACGAAGCCACAAACTTGACGGACACAATTTTTGCGAGCTCACATATCAAGGATTATTTGACAAAGTGAAAAGAAAATATAAGAAGAAAAAAACAATAACAGGGTATTTTCGCGTGAGAAAAAAATTAATTACACGCACTGACGTTCACATAGATTCGCATTAATTCGATTAATTTGCATCTGATAATTTGCCATTTATTGTTTACTGAATTACACCGATCTCTCTGGAACTATATATTATAATGTAATTCAAGTGAACAGTGGCGCCCCTAGCGGCAGTCGAGCGAGAAGCACGAGCAGTTAACACATAAGGCAAAGTTGAAAGCAGTGCAGTCTCTTAGAGTAACAAATTTAAAGATTATCCATAGCCAGTGTACAAACGTTATTAGTTAATTATCAGTAATGTTGAACTGACCGTGAAGTCAAGACTATAATTAATTAGCGGCATCTATTAGAAAATATTAATAATTGAAAAAATGCCAGAAAAACTTTTACCTTTGAAGGCAAATAACAAAGCAGTCCCGTGACGCGCAGTAAACACAGTATTGGATCGTAGTTTAGTATTAGAACCTAGTCTCTATATATATATAAAATACAAATCAAAGAGAAGAAAAAAAAAAGAGAGAGGCATTAGAGAAGCAACCGGTTAATTTTTGACAGTGTCAAAACCAATTGATTTCTTGCTTGGCAATTACCGTAAATTTAGCAGAACGCATAGACGTGCCGAATATATATCTTAACGAATTTACAAAATAATTAATTTGATCCATTTGCAAAGCGATGCACCAAAAGTCTTAGAAAAAGTCAAGGTACGCGATTACTAATTTCTATGACTCGTCTAATCTGCAAATTGTTTTTTGTTCCCATGTTGCGTTAGAATCGATGCTCCATTTTAGGACGAAGAGAGCAAGAATGAACTCTATTAGTATTCATTAATGATCTACACGTACCATTCTAATGGTAGCATTTCTAATGGACCGAGGACACCGGCAGGATCTATTATTAGAAGAGAAAAGGAGAAAGGAGCAGTCTCAAAATTAGAATAGAAACCAGAGCGAACTGTTATTGTTAGTCGTGAATTAATTATCAATAATTTATTCTTATCTGTCTAGAAGACGCAAGGCAATTTATCATTGACAAGAAGAATGATTAGGATCGCGAGCCTTTAATAAAAAAAAAAGAAAAGAAAAAAAGAAGAAAAAACAGAAATCTAATTAACAACTATATCCATTAGATTCGCCAATGATGAATTCGAGTAACGTTAATCAGAATCGATAAACCCAGTTACAAAGCCAAAGAGCTCTCTTTAAATGTCCCGCGTAATATTGTACAAAAGCTTGCAGGTAGTAGTTGTCGATTTTAATGCCTTGTATCATATATTTTAATAAGCCTCTATTACTGCAAGTGCCATTAGATTAAAGCGCGAGAAAAGGAAAGAGAAGAAAAAGAAATAAAAGGTAAAAAGGCTAATAATAATGTGAAAGTTCTTTGGCGGCAAAAAAAAAGTCATGCGACAAAAAAACACGCAAAAACCTCTTATTATACATAGCTATAAGGTACAACGGGATATCCGTATAGAAAAAAAAAAAAAATATATATATATATATGGCGTCAGGACTATTCTTAGAGACAAGCAAACGAATCTTTGGCTATTAATTCTATTTATTTAAAAAATCCACAAACTGTTGTAAGTCTGTTTGACACGCTGAGGAGGTTACAAAAAAAAATCTATAATTTAACGAGAGCTAAAATCTCCAATGTTCGATTCGTTAATAGGTATATTATATACATATTTAAATGTGTGTATATATATATATATATATATCTCATGGCCATCTCAAACTGAACATACTGTAGAGACCTTATATATAGAAAACGATCTACTTAACCTAACCTATAACGAACTCGTCGCTATCTTTAAGTATTATGAGATCTTGTTATATTTATTTTCAAGATAGCACTCTCTCTCTCTCTCTCTCTCTCTTTCTCTTTACCGTGTCTCTAGACACTCTCATTTCTCGACTCACATTAGAAAAAGCATAATCCTCTTGTTAAGGATTTAGGTCCGTCGGATATCTTAACCTATAAAAATATTGTTGTTGCTCGCAGTCGATTCACTGTCGTTTCAACGTTACTTGCGTAACATGGCGAATTTACTTGTAGGTATAAACGAAATGACAGAAGAAGAAAAAAGAAAGCGTAGAGTGACACCAGCAGACTTACCATTAGCGTAGACACTAGTCAAATACGTTGGGGTTTCACGTTACGTTTAATCGATTTAGTCTGATTGCATGGAGGGCAACGATAAAATCCCTCTTTGTGGGACAAAACTGATAACGATAAATCCCCATTAACTACTTGAGTCGTGTAACTATGAAAGATGATGTATTTGTGCAACAGCAAACCTGCGTCCGCCGCCGCCAAGAAAACTTGACGAAGAAAAGGGAGAGATGAAAAAGGAAGTGTCGTTAAGGGACCGAGGAGCTTGTGTGCTTGCGCGTGACTGTACGTGACGTAAAAGAAAAAAATTTGAGAATGAAGAGAAAGAAAAATGATCGAAACGTCGTCTTCGTAGCGATAAGAAAGAAATTTTGGAAAACTGAAAAATATCGAGCAACGGAAAGCGCAATTTGAGAAGGTGAATTCTAAGGGTGGTGAAATATTTTTTTTTTATTCGAGGAACACACGAGCTTGAGCTTATTAAAACGTAAAGGGTGTGTTGAGATTTTTTTTTTTTTTTTTTTCCTGAAAATTTGGACTGGCCGATTTTTTTGGGTTTGTCTGATGGCGATCGGCGAGGGCGAAATGTAATTTTGGACTCTTTGGATCGCTTGTGTATTATTGGAGACTAATGGATTATTACTGGGCGGATTTTCTCGTGCGAGGATGTTTTCTCGTATGTGTCGGGGACGATAGTACGAATTTTGTCGCTAAGGAGACTCCGTGGGTGGACGAATCATATTTTTATCGATCATCGATCACGCTTAAATATTACTATTTATTTTTGTATAGATCTACAAATAACGCTGACTTTTTGTGCCAGAGATGAAGAAAAAATAATAAGGCGGATGTACCAAGAGAGAAATATTATAATATATTATTATAGAGAGTATGTATTTAACTGTTAATTCGTAGCGCCGTTACGTTCCCCGGAAGTGGGACCTGAGCGCCATTTTGTAAATTCTATCATTGTCCTCAAAGCTGTCCTCTTCGTTATAGGTGCAATTACTGTAATCGGGAGAATTACGATAGAGTCTAATCGAGAAAAGTCCAATGTACGGGATGGAAAATTCGGAGGGCATATGATAATAAATCGTTTTAGAGACACATTTTAAAAATTACATTTGTTTTCGGAGAGAACGGTTTTTTGAAACCGGAACAATCGTGTACGCCGGGAAGAACTTTACGTTTGGCTTTCACTTTATTTCTCAATGTCTTTTTCCTCTTTGTTCTTTATTTTCGAAAATCGTTTTCGTCTTTCGTAAAAGCTTAATAATAATTTAGCATGTAAACGTCATTACCTCTCCATCTACTTTTGCGAAGATCGTTGCAAACGTTACTTTTTACCAAGGATATATTAATGATGTATGTATATTTTTGCGGGTAGCTATTATTATTATTGTATTTTGTAATTGCGCATCTCCCCGTCATGCCACATTAACATCATCATTGATCTTCTCCAAAACCTATAACAAAACAGTGGCAAACGAATTAACATTTGCCATTCACCTATAATAGGCGTTTCTATTCGTGTCTACGATTACGCATTGTAAAAACACAACGCAAGTATTAATTTTCAAATAAAATCATTTCTGTTTCCGTTAACTGGCAGTCATTTGTGTTTGATTTCCTTGATGCGCCTTACTTTGTCATTTGAAAATCGCACTGTCGAAACTTCAATGGTCAATTTGTATTAAATAATTTGCATGAGTTCGAATTTTCGCCGATAAGGGGGCAGCACCTCCTGGGCATGTGTGGCCGGCGAGATAGGTAAGTGAATAGCGTAGGAGCGTTTATAATACACCCATCCTATTTATAAACTATTATTTCTTTACAGGAATGCGAAGCATGCTGGGGCTAGTGTTTGTGACGACTGGAATTTCCCGCTGGGCGATCTCCGCCGCGGAAGTCCTTCCACCGGATTGGATACTCACTCGCTGGTCGCCACCCATAATAAGTGGCGCCATCTCTGAGACAACTAGTGAACTTTTTCCGATAAAATAATTCTGATTGCAATTTAGAAATCGCATCGTCGAAACTTCAATGGTAAATTCGTATTAAAGAATTCGCATTAGTTCGAATTTTCGTCGATAAGGTGGCAAAGGTTCTCCGCTACTCATCGCTAATTCCTAAAGCAACCCTTAGAACGAGACCGGGAATTATAGAACTTCTCAAGAACTATTGAGAAGCCTATTGTTGAAACATTTTTTATTGGATCTTAATTTACTTTCAAAATTTATTTAAAATTTAAAAATGAGGCTAGATCAAAATCTCGCAGAATATACGGAGTAGATAAAAATTGAATTGAAATTGTAATTATTGTAAATTATTGTAATTAATGTAAATTACGTTCAAATTGAAATATTAATAAATTAGGTGTTTGGAACATT